CCGCTCCTCCCGGCACGTCCTCGGGGCGGTGCCGCCGCGGCTTTATCCGCCCCCGGGCGGGCCGCGGCCGACCCCCGCCCCCGCGGGGCTTCGGAGCCCTCGGAAGGGAGAAGCGGGACAATGAGAGGGCATGTGCCCCAGCGGCGCGCTGCCCACCCCGTGGAGGCGAGGAGAAGCACGTCGTGTGTTAGGACATGCCCTGCTCCCGGGCTTTGCACCTATCGCGAGCAGGAAGAAACCGTGTTAGGAGATGGCCCGATCCGTATCTCTCCACCCAAAGCTCACGTGCTGTTGCTGAAGGGCTACTCACTGATGACGAAAAGGAGGGGCAAAAGACGGAAGGAGAATTTTTCCAAAAACGCAAAAACTGGGTGCGTAACTCAACTTTTTCACTGGCAGTTACTCCTCATAGAGAAATGACAACATTTCTGGCCGTGATTTTCCTCAAGAATACCTTTCATCTTCCACGTGCACGTAACTGGCATGTAGGAACATTCACCTCCAGATGTTGAAATTGGATTAAAATTAATGGCACAAAGATTTATAGATTGTTCCTTTTAGGATTATTTTTTAATCCCCTGCGGCAGCAGCAGTTAACTGTTGGAAACGTCTCCTCTGCTGATGCATAGTTAGTTTATATAGGTTAATAGTTTCTTCCATTGAACTGCTCTTCTCATGGTAACAGCATTTGTTTTATTTAACTGCAGTAACAAGTCCCAGTGAAATCCCTGTGGGTGTGTAGTTTGGTAAAATGGAAACGATCCAAAGAATTTCAAGCATTCGCTTTACACCTCCTGAAGGCTTCCTGTTCAGCACTGCGTCTCTTTGCTTCAGGTGGGTTTAGGAATTTATTTATTTCATTTTTTTCTTAGTAACTATTTCTCAAACCCAAAATACATTTGTACCCAAGAGATGTCAATATCCCTACAGGAGAGGAGAGGTTCCTATCAGTAAGTTGGATACATGGTCCCACAGGGGCACGTATGTGATGAGGACGGCTGCGCTGACAGGCCAGAGACGTGCTGACTTGCCGGAGCATTCAAAGGGAGATTTAGGCAGGAAATTAGCAGACCTGTTTGCACAGCGTGAGGAGCTAACGCTTTCAAGGTGCTTACAGGACTTCACGTAGTCAGGTGGGCAGTATTGGCGGCTCGACATTCTTTCACAGGCAGAGGCCAGGAAGACCCCTTCTCACCGAGGTTTACCACCTCATGTGGCACGGGTCAGACTTCCTCAGAAAGGAGTGACTAGGATGATGTTCTTCAAAAAGCTGCCTGATCTGGATTGATAATGTTGACATTCTTCAAGGATGATTCCTGAAGGATGAAGAATCCTTTAGTTTTCTAGAGACTTTTGCTAATAACGAAGTCACTCCCACCCTTTATTATTTGTGATCTGTTTCTTGAATGTCGGGTTCTGGATGCCTGCTCTTATCCTGCCTGTTCATGTCAGAGAGTTGTGGATCTCTCCGTGGAACTATCTGCGCTCTATCATCAAGTTACCTCCTTAATATAAAGGTTTTCTAAGTCCAAGACAAGTCTGTACACTTACATGTACGACAGTGAAAATCAAGGCAAGGACTTTTCTTTCCATTTTGAGGAAGTTGGTACAATTAGAAGACACGGACAATTTGAGCCAAAGGGGTATCAAAATGCTGTTGCTGTTCTAACTTATGGCCTATGTCTGAGATTCTTGAAGGCTTTTTCCTGTCGCTTTTCCTCTAAAAAGCATGGCCTAAGAGTTGTTTACTTGTAAAATGCTATAAAGCACAAAACCGAGTTCAAACACACAAATAATTTCTCAGATAGACTGCCACTGAAAGTTGTGTGTAGTTTTATTTCAACATATCAAGCACAAACAGGTTTCCCCTAACTGGGGAATATGTCGAGGAATGTACTTAAAAATTTGGAAACATTTACATTGAGAGATAGCCCAGACTGGCACCACCACTAAGTATTTTAAGGCTGTATATATAGCAGTACTTACCACTTGGAACTACTTCAGGCCAGAAAAGAAAGGCTTAGTACTGTCCGCAGTCTACAGAAAATATTGCAAATCTTTAAAAAATGGTGTAAAATAGGAAGACTATTAACAGAGTTGAACAATGCAGTGGCAAAACCCTTCCTCTTTCCTGACCTTTGACAATAAAATGTGCCTACAACCGAACACACGTACACCTATATTGCTCCCGTACTTCTCGCCTATCCTGGGGCAGTGGATTCCTCTCTACAACGCTAGTGTGTGATATTATAAAACAGCCATATAGCAAATAATAACAATAATAATAAGTGACCAGGTTTTACGAACAGGTGTGTCTGACGTTACACTCGATGGGCCCGTCCAGGACACCAGTCAGCTCCATAAACAGACGAGGAGCTTTCACTGAATACTTCCCATTTCCTAAAAAGGAATGGCTCTAGGAAATTGTGCATATTTACAGTTCCTGTGGAATGGAAAATATAACACATCCTGAGGTCCCATTCTGTGTGTGCTGACAAAACAGATCATGAATTAACATCCCGGGGGTGGACTTTTTGGACCAAGTGTGCTCCCTCCCGTAATTAAACGCAGCTGGACAGGCACCGTGGACTTCAGTTCTTTGCAGCTCCCCAACTGTGCTCCCTTGCTCTTAGAGCTATGAACCAGGCCAGCGTGACCTTTCCAAAACGCTGGAGTGTTTACCATTTCAGGGGTACTAATACTGCTGGGTAATTATTAATTGCATCAGAAAAATGACAAGACATAGAAAACAAATTGCACACTTAAAGCTACATTTGGCTTCAGCATTAAGGCCCATACAGGTTAAGAGGTCCTTGAAGATGTACATGTAAAAGGCAAAAATGACATAATCTGCAGGAACAAAGTTTTGCAGGTTCCTAGGTCCCTTTTTAACCTTGTTTTTCAACTTTCTTCCACCTCTGCCGTGTTGGTGCTAAAGTGCTTTGGTGCCTCGCTGGGCTCCTTGCGTGAGTGGCCCCTCTCCTGCAGCCAGTAATCGTTATTGCTGCCAAACGTAGTGATTTTATTTGAAGACGTAATTAATGAATAGTTGACACGACAGAAAGATGCAGAGGAGAAACCAACAGCGAGAGTCCAGGAGGAAGCTTTCAGAAGAGACCTTCCTGTGGAAGGACTTTTTGTTCAGAGCACTGAGGTTTCTGGAAAAGAAAGCAGTATGTTTATTTGTGTGTCGTAGGGAGGCGTGCGTTCACACATGCACGCGTACCCAGAGCTTCCGCACAGGGAGGGATCCCCGTACTTCAGAGATGCCCTCACAGGTACAGCACCGTGCCCCACAGACTTTACCTCCCCTCTTTTTAACAGAAAGATCTGTACTTCTGGCTGGTGCTGGCTCAGGCAGAGCATGCTGGTGGGAACAAGAAGGTGTGAGGGCACAAACCCCAAGAAATCTCTTCATCCAGAGCCCACTCACGAACCTACACCTAACCTTCCTAAATACAAGACTTTGCCCTGGAGACCCCCAAAAGCAGCAGAGAAAAGCTACAGCCATATCACTGATGGCTCCATCATCGAAAAACAGTGGGTCTCTTGTGATTCCAGCCCACTGAGGCCTCAGGAGGGCTGGATAATACTCCTCGCCTAGAGGGGAATCAACAGGGCTCCCTGGAGCAAATCTAGCAGTTAATACCTCTCCTGCCCTCCCCACAGGAGTCTGCAGTGCAAAGCCCTTCACCAGCAGCAGGTTAAGCAGGTGTGCTCACTGCTTACCTCAGACAGCCACTAGCATTTTATACAAAAAGTGGGAATTCAGTGCTTTTCACCCATGGAGTCCAGTTTCTATACCTGCATCTCTGCAGCAAACTGACCAAATTCATAGCATACTTAATGAAAGAAACCCCACACCTTCTTGCCTAGCAGAGCTTTATTTGTAGCCAGGGTCTGGCTCAGCCCCTCCCAACTTCTGCAGCTGTTTTGCAGTTGGGAGTGAGGTGATGCTTTTCACCCCATAAAAAGAGTCTTAAGAGGAAGAGATTTCATCACTGTTTCAAGTAGGGGGTGGCTTTGCCTTTCTTTGTGTAATAGATTACCTACTGAAACAGTTGTTAACTGCACCCCTACAGCTGATAAGGATGCTCCAAACGTGGCAGTGGAGGAGTTAAATGCCACAGGTTATTTTTAGCACATTAAGATCAGTGATTTGATGAGAGAAAATGGTTACCTGTGTATGTCCTGTTGGGCTCTCTGTAGGGATAAGACTGCTGAATGAATCTCCTTCAGGTGATTCATTTCCTTTCCACACTGAGCACACAGGCTTTCCAACCCTGCAGCAAAGTATTGAAGGACATTATGTTTTGCATCACCATCTCTGGTAGCGGTGATGAAACACAAACCAGGTTCACCTAGCAAGTGACTGGCTGTGATCAAATTGTCACAGCCGGGGGGGACACTCTCAGGAGGAAACTTGGGGAGAAGGAGACATAATCTTCACCCCAAAGACACAGGTGAATGAAATGGGTCCTGTGACCCTGGCCTGAGGCTCCTTCTTGGCTCCCAGGAAACAATTTTTGCAGCATTCTCCCCAGCTGAGGGGAGGGGAATGGAGTGCTGACACCTGCTCCCATCTCTGAAACTTTCAAGGTCACCTCCAACAAAGACTGAGAAAACAGAATGAGAAATGAAGCCTGTTTCCTATCTGTCAATTCGGTTTTCCAACATGTTCATGCCGGCTTGTAACTATTGGACTTTCAGCACATTTTCCAACATGTTTGTGTCAGGAGTTGGGAAGCCCTTGCTGGCATGGACAGCATAAGGCAGAAAGAGAAGTACATACAGAGAATAGAAAAGCGTAACATTCTCTGTGTTTTCCTGTGGGCTATGGGCCCATGGCATTAACTGGGCTGGGAAAAGTCCGACGGCTGGCTCAAGGAATAAAGCACCATGGGAAGAACATTAAAACGTGACCCAGCGATTCCCAAATACTTGCCATCATCATCTGAGAGCTCCTGCACCGACTCTGGAGTTGAACAGCTGCTTTCTGTATTCTGGCTGTGGTTGGATGGCTGATCACTGGTCTTGCGACGCCTGCAGTCTTTGGCAGACCTCTGGATAAAACAGGGATTAACAGAGACTCCATCACTGTCAAATTGAAGACTCTTGTGTCTGGCTTTAAACAAAATAATTCGGGGTGCTGGGGAATATCTGTGAGATTGTGAAGTTTGACTGCTTTCTCAGCTTTCTCAGGAGTAGTTGGACTCCTTGGCAGCTAGTTAAGGATATCACACACATGTCCTGTACAGCAGCATTTCCTCAAATGATAACATCCTCAAGACACCCATCCAAATTATTCTTGTTGTAGCTTTAACTGACACATACTAGTGACGAATTTTATAGTTCTTTTGCTGAGTTGTGCACCCATCAACGACATACATAAGAGAAGGGATGAAAAGAACAAAAAGTTAGAATAAAATTTCCTGAGGAAGATTTTTCAGAAGGTGCCTGAAAGATTTAAGCATCACAGAACTTTCACACCTAATTTCTTGATGCACTTGGGGAAGTTCCTCCCTACCTCCTGAACAGATAAACCAAACACGTTGATTCAAACACTTCTCACTGGAGGGTCTGAAAAGCACTTATGAACCTCAACTTTCCCGTTGTATCAGAGATGTTCAGATCTGGGGTATTACAAAAGAAAACCCTACGTTCATAATAAGATAAGAGTTCCTCAGTGTAATATGGGTTACATCTAGCTACTTCAGCAGTTCTACATTTACAAAGCATTTTATGAATGACATATATTACTCCAAAGATGAATGCAATGAAATAAGGAAGTAGAATTCCTGTTTAAGGGAGAGGATGGAGAGACATTTCTTTCTTGTCTTGTCTAAGAGGAAGTAAGTGGTAAAGGCAGATGAAAAAGACTGAAATTGAAGTTGCAGGATCACAGTCATGTACTTCAAAATTTTGCTCACATCCTCACTATGGCAAGTTTTGTGCTTTGGAAACACCGAGTAATAAAGTTCAGCTCACTCATAGGCAAAACCCAGTATAAGAGTCACTAACACTGGGTGGAAGAAAAATACCAAAAGGGACAGGAAATGTCAACCAAGAATTATAATTATTTGGAGTTAATGATGGTATAATATTGCAGGTCTAGAGTCGTGAGCTATATTTGTCTAAAACAAACCCTTCAGCCTATGCTGTGCTTACATGAAAATGCTGCAGAAAAGGGCTACGTATCCAAACAGTCTTAAAGAATATTATATTCCCCAAAACAGGCTTTTTACCTTGTGCCGGGTGATTTGATTGTTTATGCATGTTGTTTTGTGGTTTGACATCCTTGTGGATAAGTGTCTTTCCATGGTCTGAAGAATCCCATTCTTCTCAAATTGGGCAATGTCGTTCAAAGGATCCCAAGGTCTTAAACTTTTGGGACCAAAGGAAAAACCATCAGAAAAGCAAGAATCCCACCAGGTGTGTTAATGCACCAATTCCACATGCGTCAGGGTAGGCATTCACCCCTGACACTAACGACTTTCTGCAGATAGTGTGAGGAGTAACAGACACTTCGCACAGTGCAGAAAATCTCTGCTAAGTGATTCCGCGCTTGATTTGTACCAATGGCATAGCAGATTTTCTATTGTCATGCTGTCATTTCCAGCTATTCCCAATTAGTATCAGGAATATGTATTCCAATAATGACCTGGAACTCAGAAAGAGCAACCCCAGGGCAAAGTTTGGGGAATGGCAGGACCCAAACTACAGGTCTGTAACTTTGCTTGCATCCCTGGGGACTCAAGCAGCGAGGTCTCTTCATAACCCCCAACCCCACCACTCACTCCTCGTATTTGTAGTGCCATTCGTTAGTCGTGGCATCATGCCGGAAGAGCAGCGGTTTCCATTCCGTGCCGTTCTCTCTCCGCTCCCGGGCGGCCTTTCCTCTGCTCCTCTTCCAGCACAAATTTCTCCTGTGTCGCCTTGTGTTGATCACCTTTGTTTATTGCACTGGTAACGTGCTGCCAAAGCCTACAAATAAACAGAGAAGCAAGTTAAATCGCCTTAAAACCAGCAAGGCATTTTGCCAGCTGGAACCTCAGAGCAGACACTTTTCTGGTCTATTTCCTCTGATACTCCCGAGGAACTTCAACAGGATTGTTCGGCCTTAGTTTTGGCTTGTAAATTAAAGGAACATTGTGAGAACGAACGGCAACACAGAATGCCGTATACAATGGTCTACTTAAGAAGAGGGGAACTTTCCCTCAGATAACATCACCTACGTTCATCAAAATCTTCAGTGCTGTCTATGTGAGTTAAAGATAGTTATGCTCAATTCTTTGAGGTCAGCGGCCACTTTAGAGGTGATTGACACATAACGGAGAATCTGTTGTCTTCCTCGTGCCTTCAGTCATTTATATTTAGGAGCCTTTGTGTTAATGTCTATCCCTGAAACAAAGGCTTTATATTTAAAGTTTGGACACACTGGAAAATGAGTTCATGTGCATGGCTTGCAGCTGCACGTGCAATGTTGTACTTCTATGTAGGATTAGCAACCAGATCCATAGGAACCTGATTCAGTCTGCAAGAAACGGACACGTACTTGTGCTCACGAACTGCGAGCACAAATACAGGCTTTCACTCGCACTTGTTTTCAGCTGCCAAAAGATACGTCACCTGTCATATGATGTCTCACTGAGCCTCCGCCCAGAGGAGAGGATCTGCCTTTTACGAGAGAAAAATCATCATCTTTTATTTTATTATATCCAAGCTGTGATAGAGGCCTCTCTGCAGTTCCTCTAATCAGCACTCTAATCTTCATTTCAGTTTGGAAATACTGCTGAGATTAGCGGCTAGCCCTCCCACAAAATTACCGAGTGGTTTAGCGGTTAGAATAGGCACCGGCGGTCCAGGCTGTTCCAGTATTCCCAGCTCCACAAAACACCAGTCCTCCACTTAGAAGATGAACACATTACTGCATTTAATTTAGAGCTTGCTGTGAAGCTCTAAATTTAAAAGGGATACTGATGGTTTCATTATATTTCTATCATCATATGTTAAAGCAACACTTCCAAAAAAGTAGCCTCTTAGATAATTAACTGAAGGCAGAGCAACATTCTCCTGTCCTTTTGACACGTCACTCCCGTTTTCCTGTGTATGAATCTTTTCTCCCAGAAACAAAGGAAGGAAACTCAGTTCCAACTCAAAGTGAGGGGGGTGGGGGAGGGAGGAGTAAAAATAACGGCCTGAGAAAACACTGCTGTAAAGAGTCAGTCCTAAGGAATGTGGTGGTGTGAAGAGTGAGTCCACTAATTCTAAGAACCTCAGAGGGACAAGCACGAAATTGTTTGACAAGGGCAAATTACTTCATCAAACGCTGCATGTGTCAGACAATGAGACCCTCCATGGTGAGCTGCATAAGGGCATGAGCTTCAGAGACTCTCCGGCGTTTGTGAAAATAGGTGATTTTCAGCACTGCAGAAAAGACTAAGCAATTCAGGTAGAACATAACCTGGATTAGATGGTAATTTATTCATGCAGCTGTCGGCATAATAAGGAGCTTGGTGGAATGTCTGTTAGGGATCTCTAGAATTTTTCCTTTTGCCACCTTCCCCGGGATGCATGTATCACTATTAATCTTGAACGTAGCAAAGGGAATGAGCTCTGGCAGTACCCTGGTAAACAGAGAAATGGAGATTCTTTGTTCACAAGACTGAGATTTCTCTTCTCCTTTAAAATAATCTTCTTCAGAAGATTAATAGAGAAAAGTGCTGCGGTCTGCTGTGCTCCACGACAATGCCAACTGCACGACCGTAAGTTACAAACGCAGACATTATTGCCCATAACATCCGCTGCTGTCCAGAACAAACTAAAGGTTTGTGTGTTTTCATTTTCACGCAATCCCTTTCTTTACCCATACAAGAGGAATCTTCTTAGCGTGATGTGATGCAACACCAAAATTAGGTCCCCACAGGGAGCGGCCAATGTAACGCAGGGTCAGGCAGCAAACTGGGATGTTAGCTGGTACTGGCTGACCATATTGGTGAGATGGCAGGACTGGCTGGTTTGAAGCCAGCGCCACATGATGTTGCTCTAGCTGTTCTTGCTCAAGAACTGGCTCAAGGATGCTCATTGCATCAGGTAGTCATTCCTTCCATTTCCCAAGTCATGTGCCAGGACCATAGTTTTAGGTAATCTGGATTACCCTAAGAAAAACTGGTGCAGATTTCATTGGAGATCTCAGCTGAGATTATGAGGCAGGGTTAAACATCTGTATAATTATGTTCTCTCATAAAATCCTGTTATGTGGTTTAAACTACTGCTCTGCTCATGCCAAGACTTTCCACATGATTTCTGCATCTAGCTTAAGAGCCTGTGGTTGAAACAACACTTCTTAACAAGACATCCGACCTCAGATTGACATCTTGCCCTTCCATAAAGTGTTCCAGCAGTTACAGAGACTCTGTTCATGATCTCTGGAGTTCAGGGAGAGTTGTTATTTTAGCAGATAAAATGTAGCCTCCACCATTTCTCAGCCCAGCTCCCTGGTTATTTCAGAGCTATAATTCACGGAAATACTCCAGAGTTAACAGACTGGAAAAAAACAGGTAAATGGCTGAGTAATATGTGCAGCCAAAGCAGGCCACTGCTGAGGAATCAGAGCCTTCGTAGTCCCTGCTTGCCTCCTGCGGGGAAGTAGCAGTGAAACGTTCCCAGGGCTCCTTACCTCTCCGACTCAAAGTCCGTCTGCTCCTCAAACAGCACAATATGGCGCTTCAGCCTCTGCCTTCGTACTTCACCGGTCGGGTTCCAGAACATTTCCGTGTTCCCATTTTTCAACTCGTTTATATGCACTTCCCCATCCTGAGAAGGAAAATTAAGTGAAAAGGTTAATGACAATCAGAAACACAAGGCAGAAAATAATCCTCACAAATGGGAGTTGCTTCCGGATGGTGATCAGGGACAGGCCTTTGTTAGAAGGCTTCTTTCCTTCTCTATGCCATTAAATCTCACTGAACACTTCCTGAAAGTTTCTAAAATGAGTGAGGTGAGGCATTCCCTGAAACACTGGCTGAATAATCAGAGAAGAATTAGAAAGGGGCTTGGTCCTTTTTGTTAGTCTTGTTCTCAGACAAGGGTACCTAAAGAAACCCTAAGATGCTCTTCTTTCCCTTCTGTTCCTCCCAGGTACCACCCAGCACATAGAAACAAGATTCCAGCCTTTTTTCTATTTCTCACCGCTGAAATCTCATGCAGAGCCTACTGAAATACCATCCTCTCTAGAAAAGAGAGCTAAAGCTGAGACCCTCTTTCACATTATTTTTTTTTTCCCCATTTTAGCCAGGTTTTTCTATTATTGCTCCTGAATTTCATTTAGCACTTCAAAATGTCAAGGGTCTTTCATCGTTATTCCTTGCCAATTTACTTGGCAACCAACTATTAAGCAGCACGTCTCCGATCTGAGGCGGGCAAGACAATACTGCTGTGTCCCTGCTTAACTAAGATGCTTCCCAGCCTCGCTCACGGACGCAGCAATGCCACGGAGCCAGATGGGGTAGTTCATACAGCACACAGGGAACAGCGCAATGCCGACTGCACGTGGAATGAATTAGACGATTACAGCACTCGGACAGCACGTGCACTGGTGCCATTGAGCTGCCTGGACGTGGTATGAGTATCCTGCAAACCTTATTTGGGTCACAGCCATTAGCTTTGCCTGTCACTACCTAATTTCTTTGCTGCTGTATTTCTTCCCCTGCCACGGTCTCTTGATGCATGTGTCAAAGTCCACTTCCCACATCTTCAGCTGTGAAACTCCTTCAAGCCTGAAGGACTCTCATCCCTCCTCAAAGTCTCCCTCAGGACTTCCTCTGTCATGTTCTCAGGTGCCACTTCCAGGACAGATCTCAGGTCTCCAAGAGATCCGCAGCTGTGGATGGGAGGAGGCAGGCAGGCATGATCAAACATCACTATATACATCTTTAAGGGGCATATATACGAGCCCTGCACTGCTGCTTTGATCCTGGGGCTGAGAAGCATTGGGATTTGCTTTCCTTCTTTATTCAGGTCAGTTTTCAGGACCTGAGGCAGAGAATTAGCCTTTCAGCTGCGAGAGTTTCTGTCAGGAAAGTGGACGGTTCCAGAGAAAAGCCTGCAGAGCTCAGGAGAGCAGGCCAATACTCTTGGCAGGGAGGTAGAAGAGTAAACAACATCCCTACCGCTGCACAGCAGCTATTCTATTCACAGCATGCAACTCCAAACAGCGGCTTATGGAGCCACCCTTTCAAAGCCGTTTAACTTCTTTTATACGTCGTTCTAATTTTGTGCACCACAAACAACCAGCACAAAGAACAAGGGAGGAATAAATTATTTTCTGGCTGATAAAACCCAAACACAGAAGGCTGGAAGCTGAGCAGCACACAACCATGTGGCTGAGCGCCCCAGGGGAGCCACTCGATTACATGCTCTCGTGGATGGTGTTCGCAGGACCCACCGCAGACAAGGTACTCCACAGCCCAGCACAACTCACAATTGCCAAGGCTCATCCTGAAGGAAAGGGAGCTCATAATGGAAAAGCTACCCAGGCACAGGGAGCAAATCTCCTTGTATACACCTAGAAAGGGCAAATCTCCCAATTTCAAAATGGTCATTAGCTTTCTATGTAAAAAGACTCATTGCCTGAGGGGAGGAGTCCAGAACCAAAGGCTACACTGTGGTTAGGACCTCACTATAGAAAGGGCTTTATCCAGGCACATTTCACCTGACCTACTTGAAATACCTCCTTTAGGATGAGACAAATCTTGTCTTAGAAGTGGCAATTTCTACGGACTGGAAAGGGAGTATAGGTCAACTATAATGAAGATGTAGATGTCTAAATGTAGCTGAGATAAATACCTAAGTGTCCAGCCCAAAGCCAGGGCTCACTGCTTTTGCCTCAGTTACCAAAGCTCTAGACTATCCCTCACCATGCAACTTTATTCTTGCTGGATTTTGGCTTAAGGATGCCTTTGAGTGATCCACTTGTGGACACCAGGTGTGCAATGAAGCTAGCTGCTCTGCTGACTGTTCCGAGCTGCCCATTCAGATAGCCCCTCACCAAATCTGTGTCTCTGTCCTTCACCTCATGAACAGAGGAATAACCATCTTCTATCATAAAGATTTGCTGTGAAAACAATGAATTTTAAACCCTGTGAAGTTCTTCCTTGATACTGCTGCAGCTGGGAAGTATTGAACACAAGAAGACGAAAGAAAGCCTCATGATTTTCACAATCACACATAACACACACTATGTCTCCTGCCGTCAGTGATTGTCCTAAGCCTGGGATCCTAAACCCAGAGCCGCTGGCTTTGATGGAAACGCACCTCACCGGTCTCAGCTTTGGCCCTGGCTCTGGGAACGCAAGTGTTACTCACACTGCAGGTGGATGGGACTACGGAAGCGTAAATGACCTTGAGAGGTGTGGCCCGGAAAGCTCTGCTTGCCTGTGCTCCCCAGGGATAGTGGGAATAGACATGGGAGCTCCGCAGCCTCTGCTGCAACGCAGGGAGCCTGCCAAGGGCTGCCAGTCCTCCCATGCACCCACTGAAACCGTCAGCAACTGCGATTATCGTGTGTTACCCAGTGTCCATCGAGACTTGCTAACACTTCTTCTCCTGATTTAATCTTCCCAGAGATTTGATTAATGCTTGCGCTGCCACCGAAGAAGGGCTGTCAGGGGAGAACAGAAATAGAAAATATGATCAGTCTAGTGAGAACTGGAAGGGAGCCAAATACCGTGATGCAGCAGGAGGGAAGGAAAGTGCAACTTGCTTGATTTCCACTATTTTTGGGGAAAGGTAGAATGAATTCTAACAGGGATTTTGATTGTCTAGCATTGTGCCCTCCTCCTTTTGTTTGCAATAACAACATCACTGTAGGAGCTGCAGGAAGGGAGATAAGGCTTCAGGTGCATTAACATTCAGCAGCACAAGGCCTCACCTTCATTGCATATACATTTATTGCCAGTTACACATCAGGATAAGTGTACGTGGGCAAGTCCTTCCCATTGTCCTGAGTCACATTACAGTTTGTACTTTTATATTGGTAGCCTGGTCCAAGGAAAAGAAGCAGCACTAATGCAGTTAGTGACTTTTCTTGCTTATGGGACAGCAACAGCAGTGTGGCACTGCTGATGGCCACATCTGCGTGAAGCCTCCAGTGTGAAGAAGCTCTTGTCAGCAGCAAACAAAAAAAGAAAAAGGGTATTTCCAGAGTCAAGAAGAACATTGTCAGAACAATGGGAAATTCCCCTCACCTCCTGCCTGCCAAACACAGGAAACAGCAGTGATAGAGTGACCAGCTCTTCCATTCATACCACACAACACTTCTTCAGACATTTTAGCAGCTTCTTTCCAATAACGTTTGTGCAGAGGAACTTTTTTTTTTTAGTAACAATATAAACCCAAATTTCTCACAACACTCATGGAAAAAGAAATCACAAGTATCTCAAGAATCAATGTATGGAATCCAGCAGAGAATGGGTACATATCCAAATTAATAACAAAGTTATGGGGCTTACCTTTAACTTCTCACAATTCTACTATAAAAGCTGGCTAAGAAATATTCAAAGCAGAGCACATAATTAAGGCACAGGGACCTTTCTGAGTCATGTCTGGACTAAGCGCATTGTTTTCAAGCCAGAAAAGAAGGGTCTGCATTTTAAGCTCTGAAGCGTTTGTAGGTTTGAGATGACACTGACTGAAGTCAGAGAAATACTCCCTTGGCCTCAACACAATATGTCAGGCCCATGGGAAGAACAGGCTTTAAAGACAAGTATATGCAAATGTCAAGGCAGTACATGGGACAACAATTCACTTTGTAAGGGCAAATAAAGACAGAAAATTATTATGGCCCCTGAAAAACCTTGTCTGCAAAAGACTCCCCTAACTCCTGTAATCTCTCACATTTATGTTGGCTAAGGCCGCAACTCTGAAGTCCTTCAGGCTTTCAGTTCTCCATCTTTCATTTTATGCCCAGACAAGAAACTTTTTTTTGGAACAGAAGGGAAATAGATGCTCCTTAAAAAGCAAGTTACAGCTCATCACTTTCTCTTCTGAATTTTAACACATACAACTACAGGAATGCTCAAAGATGTCTCCATTTTATCTGCATACCATAAATTTGCATCACCACGCCTTCTAGGGGCAGGAATAGCCACATGAACAAGTCTGTACAAGGCGATGACAGTGTGGCTCATCAGTGTGATGGCTACTCAAAATCATCTGCCTGAAAATGGGCTCTTGCCCTACTGTCAAGGCAAGGTCCTGTAGCCTTGAGAAACACAAGGTACAGCTCACTGTAATACCTGCAAGGTAAGAATACGTATGTGATGGCTACCGGAGAGCTACACTGAAGATCCACATCCTAACTTGCCTCAAAGTAGTTTCTACACCTCACTGTGTTTTGCGAGCAAAAATAATTGTGCCTTCCTAAACAGAAGCCACACTGCCATTGCCAAACATTCAGAACAGTTTGGCCGGTAGCCAGCTGGCTGGCAGTGAACGAGTCGTGTAAAACTCAGGCTTCCTGGGTACACACTGAGTTGTGCTAGGCAAACCTGGCTGCAGGATGGTGCCTCCTCTCTGGGTAGGCCACCCCGTGGTGCATGCGTACATTGCTGGCACGTAAATGACGTGTGTACGGTCCAACCTTGCCTGGAGCGCAGGGGCAAGCCTGAGACCCATTCGAAATGGGGGCCATGATGTCTCTTACCTTTAGCTTAAATTCCAGTTCTGCCCTGTGGTTAGTTTTCTCACAGTCGATGGTAACTTTTCCTCCAAGCTCCATTGTCATGGTACCGTACAGAAGTCCTGAAAGGGAAAAAAGAGACTTAAGAGAGGCCCCAGTGGAAGCGATCTGCTTTCTCAACTCAAACTGGCTCTCACTGACACACTGTGAAGTTTGCAACTTGGCTTGAAGTTTTGAAAAGACAGAAACCAAACATTCTAGGAAATGGCTCTTTATAATAAGCATGAAGAATCCTCCCCTGAGTTCATATTCCCCATTTATTACACCAGCTAGGAAATCACTTGACTCATAGGTGCTGATAGTGCATCTGTGGCAAGCTGGAAGTGGGAAAGGAAAAATAAGGAAAGTTGTGCCCAGCAACTTCATTTATACTAGTGCTTAAACAGACCCAGTCGCTTCTCACAGGGTGGATAGGGCAGAGAGGAGCTGTAACAGGATTCAGCAGAATCTGGTAGTCATGTAGGGGACTCCTTTTTACACATGCTTACCATTTTCTGGAAAGGTCATTTGCAGAAAAAGAAAAATTATAAGAAAAAGATTTATGCCCAGGAATAGTTCACAGAGGGTGTGATTTACAGAAGTTACTGTTTTCAGATAGCTAGACACTCCATAAATGTTAACTTAGAAGCCAACATGCCAAAATAAAAAATATTTGAAACCCAAAATTGGATCAAACTGCTGCAGGAGTGATTTTATCGCTGTGGTTGAAATGCCACCGATGTTTAGCTTCCTCAGGAGAAACACAAAGTCACAGCCGTGAATCAGCAGCCGTCCCCCCGCCTCGGTGCACACTCAGCTCAACAGAGCAAAGCCACTCGGTAACAGGTACCAGCCTCACTGAGGCAGCCCACACACTGAGGAATATAATGATTAGAGTAACGAAGAACCCAGAAGAGAAGTCAGGGATTTCCCTTCTTTTCAAAAAGCCAGAAAATATATTAAACTATTTCAGTGTTAACATTAGAACTTCTTATCCTCAGAAGCTCAGAAATATACTCTTATTCTTCCCATCTTCACTTGATCTGCAGTATTTTTTTGTTTCTACATAGTGTTAAAACTAACTTAGATGGGCCTAATTCTGTCCTCAGCTCTGCACAGACAAATTGAAAAGACTACAAGGAGGATTACCAGTCTTCTGCTGAGTGCTATGACTCCTGTGTGGAGCAACTGCTGCCTGAAACTACCAGTCCCTGTGGCACTAGGTATTTGAGAGGGAAGAAGACAGTCAGTAAGACACCATTATACTATCTTTTCTGTTTGCTTCCTGTGTGAACAGTCATGGCTTACCTTTACAGTGGGCGTATGGCATGGTAATTATATAATCTTCCCCCCTGTTTAAAAACATAAGCTTTGCTTTCCCATCCAACAATGCAGAAAGTGAGTTACCTGGAATTTAAAAGAACAAATACATACGTATCAAAAAACGCACTTGGTTATACTTGGTCACTTGTCCTGCTTTAGAAAAACATGAGCATTTAAATGGAGGTCACTAGTGAAAGAAGAGATACGAAAGGCAAATCAATCAGGACCCCGCAAATCATTTACTGTTGGAGGCAGGCGGCTCCAATAAACTCTCTGCTGCATGGCTTGTATTTGCTCTGGCATTTAGCCCCGGTTGCAGAAAGGGCAGCAGATTAAATAAGTCATTAGTGGGATGCAGAAAGCAGTTCCAATGCTTAGAAGTTTTTCACGTCCTTCCGTTCTCACAATTTTTCTGATTGTTTATGATCTCAAATAACAAAAAAAATTGCCAGAAGTACAGCAATGACTACCTACAAGTATTTCAGCAATTACATTTACCAGAGAATAGTACGTAAGAGGTGTTTGTCTAAACAAAAAAAAAATATTTCAAAGAACAAAACTCTTTCAGAGCCTGTAGCTGTGCTGTCTCCACTCTGATTAAAAGATTAGAGGACATGTTGAAGCTCTAGGGTTCAACTCTCAAAATCTGGGAGGCAGATAAATGGTTACATTTATTCAGAGCCTTTTGCAAAAGTCAGTAGGATGATCAGATAGCTATAACATGACTCATCTCTGAGCACATGCAAAGGAGTCTGACAACCAATTGCCCATACATTCACATGAACCCGTGTTTTCTGAAAATCAGGTTTTTAAAGCTCTCAATTCTTCTATTAGTGTCATCTCTACCACTGAAATGGTAGAAATAGGGAAAACCCAGGAGAGCCAAGACAAGGAACTAGGGTGTCGTGGTCTCTTAAGTATTTCTTTGTTCTTAACTCTCAACACACTTCAGAAGTGATTGAAAAACAAACCAAAACCAATGCCATGATGTTACCTGGAAGACACCTAGGCTTAATGCCTTACCATAAAACTTGGACCTAGCCAGAATGCTGCCAGTAATGCAGAATCCATCCTTCCTATTGCTGACATGAAAAGCTGACACTGGTGGATGATGGGAGACCTAGAAGAAAATTAGGCACAGGTCATTTACAGCAGTCTTTGCAGGACAAGCGGAGCGGCAGGTGCATACGCAGACTCACACGGTGTTACACATGCTCTAGGGAAAGTGCAAGATGGAGGCTGCAGGACTGAGCAGAGTCCTCTAAGCCCCATCCGTATCATTAACCTCAGTGTTATAGGAGGGAACATTATGTGTGAGACCACTATATATGTGAACATGATAAATGTAGACCTTCTCCCCCAACCCATGTTTTCTTGTTCTTGCGTATCGAGATCACTTTAGGACAACAGGTGCACTGTCAGACTTTCAACACAATAAATGACAGTGCAGAACATTTTGGCAGCATCTGAATAATCTCCATGAAACGGATGGAGTGGCTGAAATGAAATAAAACAAAATATAAATTCTTTGATTAAATAGGAGCAAAATGTATGTGAAACAGGGAGTCCCTGTGTACCAAGGTCCACATGGTCCTCAGGTCCCTTTATTAACACTGTAAATCTCAAACTAAATTTTGTCAGGCCAGTTTACTTGTGAGCTCTGCCCTCCATTTATCCCCAAAGATGCAGAGATAAGCCCTCAATTTACTCCTATTAAAATGATTATAGAAAGTTTAGAAATAAAGGAAGGTGGGATTTGCTTATGAGTTTTACGCCCCTTTTGACAGAGGCAACACAAACTATGTTTTATTAACAAAATGAGAACAGTACGGCAGAACCCCATGGGAAAGGTCTTTACTGAAGAGGCTCATGTTATGTAGGGAGACCTGCTTTTATGGTCTTGATTGCCCACCAAAGCTCATATAATCTCTGTAAATCTAAAAAGAAAAAAGATCATCAGCTAGTTGACCCCATGTCCCGCTCTGAATGTTTACATGGAACTCCAAGTTCCTCTCCTAGGGTGAGATGAGGAGCGTGTTCCTACGCACGGAGGTGCACGCAGGCTGCTGTTTGCAACACCTGAGCATCCAAATAAAGCAACTGACCTGTTCTGCTATGTAAAATGTGTGGCTGTTCGTCTGAGGGTGAAACCAACAGCAGCGAAACGTCTCTCCCAGAATAGGATTGTATGGCTTTTTTATTCCCTGAAAAATAAAGTAATCGAAACCTGCTACAAATGAAGATTTGCAATCCAGCTCTACAGAGATGGCCACAAAAGAACATAATGATTTTCTCCCTGATGTTTCAAACTAAGTCAATTGCAAAAATCAAAACTGAAGAACTGGTTACATATATCCTCCTAATTTAATCTTTTCATCTGAGCCATTGATTCATCTGAGAATTCATAAATTCTCAACAATTTAATCTTTGATACTGCCTGATCAAAGCTTCACAAGATGATCAAACGTTATTATCTGTGCTCTATGTGCAGCAGGTGCATACTGATGTGGAAACATGGCGCTACGGTACTGATAGGCCCAAAAAGAGAAAGAAGACCTGCTTACAGCGAAGGGAAAATCTTGCATCCGAGCACGTTTTTGTTGATGGCTACTTTTGCCTTCTAACTGTTCAGTACAAAGGCTCTGAGGTTGATCAACACTATTCTGCACTCAATATCTACTCCAAAAACAAATGCAGCTTCAGTTTTAATAGCAATGATCGAAGTCTTCTAAACAGCAGAAGAGGTGAAGCGTCAAAGGAAAGGCCATAAAGGAACACGCAACCACAGCAGATTTCAACGCCCGTTACAACCCGAACTTCACGCATTGTTTTACCTTTGGCTTCTTATAGAAGCCGGACAGATACCACCTCAAAACTTGCTTCATTCGACTGTATGGATCATCTTCAAGGACAGCCCTGCAGAACAGAACATAAAATGGTCTTGATACTGTTCACACATCACATTCATTTCATACGAGTATAATATTAATTTCAATAGTATTTCCCCAGTACTAAAGGGAAGTAACTTCTGTGCTCTTGCCAGTGAAAAAGGTGTCTGCCAGCAGAAGTAATTTTTTTTTTAGTAACGTACATCACACAACACACACATAAACTCTTAAAAAGTGGCACTCCTGCCCTGTGCTCCTGCAAAAAGCCTAATAAAATTTCTGGAGTGTATCAGGTTTGACTGAACATTTGAGTACGTTACTGTGGGACTGCTACTCCTACTAGGACTTAGTTACAGCTAATAGTACAGTGTGAGTCATAAAAACAATACTACTTATGCCACCAAAATCAAAGACAAGCCTATTTTTCTTTTTCTTTGCTTCTCTCTTCCTTTAAAGCTGATGTGCTACATGGCCTCTTTCAGTACTTTGATATTTCACACAATAATTTAGGTTGGAAGGGACTTCTCAAGGTCATTTTCTCTAACCTCTCCCTGCTCAAAGATAAGTAAGAAGTAAACAGAAACAATAGAATTCCTTGTATTTCCAACCATTTAGTCAGATTTGAAAACCTGGATAAGTTCTTGCAAAATCCATTTAGAAGGATCATCCATACCACGAAGAGGTTTATTTAACAAAATCTCCAAACCTCTTGAAGTTTTCTTAGATCTCATCACTCAGGAGAACCATTTCCTTAATTTCAGATGTTACAAATACCACAAACGAGGCTTGAAAATACCACGATTGTAGAATTACCCAGAGGCAGTGGAATAAACATGAGTAACTAGTGCTCCTATTTGAATATTGCACACACTGGTTTTAAGATACACCAGGCATATCTCATTGAGAAGGCTGATCCTATCTGAGAGCATAACATTTTCGATTTTCTACTCTGCTGCTCCCAGCAGATCTCTCTCATCAATGGTGTTAAAAGATGTTTCTTATTTGTTTATCATCCAACATAATTATATTGCTTTTGGGGGCAGAAGTGCTTGACAATTCTGTTTGCTCTGTCCTAGTCCCCTCCGTACACGAGTAGACCAGAAGGTGGCACAGCTCTGTTGCAAGATGCTCAAAGGCATGAGCTGAACCACAACTATCATCTGCATGTGCAAAGGTGGTTTTGTCTGAAGTTTTAACTCTTTTCCTTGCTTTTTGCCCCTCGCTGGCAGCAGTCCATCTTTAAAATGTCACTGCAGCTGGTGCCTGGCTTGATTTACATTGAACCCAGTGACCCGGGTGTTACTTGGGAGCCTTTCAAGCACCCAAACGCACCCCAGCCAACACCAAGCTAACACCAAACCATATTGTCACAAGTACAAGAAAAGTGCCCACATCGGGCACACTCTGAGCGCTGCTTACTGGGAAAGCAGGTCAGCATGGTAGTAGTAATCAGAGAGCTTGTTAAGGAATGAACGTGGCTCCAGGATGAAGGTGGGCAGCACTACCCGTGACAGGTCCATGCCGGGCCGCAGCTGCTTCAGCAGGC